TGTATTCATTTACATTTTAAGTTCAATGCAGTGAAATTTACTCTGATAGCATTTTTAGATTCTTCTATACATGTTTTATTCCCCAATTACTATATGAAAATGTGAACAGTCACCAACATTACAAATATGTTCAATAATTTTTTAAAAAGCTAATAGCTAAATGAAGAACTAACAACATACCCCACAGTCCTATTAGGCTTGCTTGACACAGTTAGTTTAGTCCAGTTAGAAAAGTGAACTATTAAAGCTAGAATCAGAAGTTCAGAGCTGACACAGGCCCATTATATATTGATTCTGTTAATGACCGCAAGCCACGCACCATTCTGACCAATGTTTCCCAAAGTGCGTACTGTCGATTATAAGGTGAATGGGCAGTAGGGAGGAATAGCTCAGAGGACTGCAATACATACCACTTCTGAAAAATACAATTCAAAACACAGGCCCTGTTGACAGAGCATCAATAACAAACATTCTATAAGGGAGCAAATTGTCTATTCAGCTATATAAGAATTGTTAAAATGTGTAGTAAGGATGGATATAGCTAGGTATTCTTAAATGTTATTTTTTTACACTTTTCCTTGCAGGATTGTTTATAAAACACAAATGATATTGGCTTAAGAAATTATTCACTATTGATAAGACATTCTGAGTATTTGTTTTGATTTTTGTTTTGTTTTGTTTTTCAGGGCATGATCTCTTAAAAACACCAACTCAAAAGTATGTAATGCCTTCCCCAAGGTAATAGTATTCAATAAGTGACTGATGAGAGCTGGTATATAAATACCTCTGTTCCCCTCTCCACTAGGGAAGGAAAACTGATGGATGTGTTCTACACTGTCTCCCAGAGATCTCCCAGCAGGAGTAAAATTCAGCGGCCTTTACGACTCACTGCCAGTAGTGGGTACATGCCCTCACAGTGTGCCAACCAAAAACACATCCAGATACTAACAATGTCTTGGAGTTGGCGGGGGTAAAAATCACCCGTGCCTTTATGACATGAGTTTTACAGCCCAAACATCACTGCACTACTTCATGAAAGATGGCCAATCAATCTATAAGGGCAGTAAAGTTTAATGTGGCATTAGAACACAAACCATTTATAGTTAACTTGAATTTTTACAAATGAAGAAAAGTTGAAGTCCTGGTAACATGTCCCTATTGTTACAGGTTTCCAAAATGGAAAAAAATAACAATGGCTGTGAAGCTCATGCTTCTAAAACATTACTTAATAGTGTTACAGAGGAAGCGCCAGGGCTTTTCATGTTTTGGCCCAACAGTGGAATCTGTTTTCCGCTTGCATGCCCCACTAGTAGCTCAATATTGCAATGACAGCATGAGGCAGAACACTTTGGTGAGATAGAAGACAGATGCCATGTGAAGTAAAACAATATTTCTGGGGAATAAAATAGATGTAAGCATATTGGTGAAAACTTAAAATGAACTTTGAGGAAGTTCATAAGCACAAAGAAACTGTGCACAAATGACCATTTCAATAGATCCGGATGTTTATGGAATTTCTCCTGTGCTTTGTAATTCTGTTGCCAGTTTTGCATATTGATGAATCCCTAATCAGTGTTTTAATAAGAAGGAAGGCAGAATGTATCAGGCACATGGGGTCTGCTACCATCCTAACCCTGAAAATCTCTCTTCTTTTTAGCTGTCATTTTTTTTTTAATAGCTTTGTCTTGGGAATGTATGTACTAGACCTAGTCCCTTAATTAAACTGTGTGTACGTACAAGGTTTACGTACATGGTATTTGCTTGTAAGAAAAGGCTACTCAATTTTCAGGGGCCTTTTAAGGTTTCTGCTTATACTTTGGATGTCTAGGCTGCCTTTTAATGTTCTGCATTTCATATTTCTTGTTGTTCTACAGCTTAACGCAACAACATTCTCTTTAACCTGTTAGCTATAGATAGGCAGTTTGCTTAACTACATAATATGCTCTCTCCTTGATGAGGTGATAGCTTTTACTGGTACCTATATTTTATAATTTTCTAAATTTCCATATTGAGCACTTATTAATTAGACGATCAGAAAATAAATTTTAAAAGCTAAAGTTGAAATAGAAAAAGTCAAAGTATCATATTTCAAAGGATATTTGGAACAATCAGATCATAGAGAAATACATTTCAGGACTATACCTGGCCATACTTATGTCTAAGGTCTTATTAGGCCTTAGGTGTATTAATTAAAAGGGATGTGGAGATTTTATGACCTTTAATTCATATTTAGTCAATCTCTATATAGGAAATAACAGGTAACACCTATGATTCACAGTATTTAAGATCCTCAGGATTTTTAGAGATTTTATCAAAAATATTAAATGGATTTTAGCATCAGTATTTAAGCACTGTTAGTAAATATATGTAAATATATATATATATATTATATGTATGTATATATATATATATATATATATATATATATACACACACACACACACGTGTGAACTTTAAATTATTATCAACACAGTTTTCAAATGACTCTTAATCATGTTACAAGATACACCATTCTACCTTGACTACTTTCTCTTTGGAATGTTACTTTTCTTCATTTGTATTTATTCTATTCCACTGAATGAGCTAAATAGCCTCATTATAGTTCATTTAAAATCCTACATGAGAATTTCTCTTTAGATACATATACATGTTAAAAAAATTTAAACAATTAGCAAAGAAGGATAGTGTTACTTTTCAAGTTAATCTTGAAATTTAAACACACCTACTAAAAAGAAAACCATTTATTATTATTGTTGTACTAGGCAATCATTGTTTAAGTGCAAACTCTGAACTAGTAACCATTTCATTTTATAAAGCAAAGTTAATCTTCTATTTTGTTCCAGTAATATAAAAGCACATTATTATGCAAATCAATTCATTAAAACAAAATTTAAACCATAATTATATTGACATTATACATATAAAAAAGTAGGAAGTTTTGCTAAAATATGTTAAAAGGTAAAACAAGAAAAGAGCTATATAATAATGGGCACTGGTTCTCTGGCCCCTTTCCACAGCGCTACATAGGCAGGTTTAGGCCTTGTCTATGCTGCTTGGCAATTATTATCTCTCAAAAACCTAAATTTGTATCCACATCTCTGGCCAACAGTACACTCATGCGGTCATCTTTGTAACAAGAAATTCCTGTATTTCCAACACTTACAATTTTTGTCTTCATTCCTTATACGTTATTCAAATATACGGAAAAATTATATATTTTTATAAAATATAAAGGGGGATGAAGAGTTTGAGATAAAAATTCATCTTTTTAATATCCTGGTTATAGGCTTAAATTTCATCATTTCTCTAAGATCTTGAAAAGCTAAACATTTTTCCCTTTTAAAATACAGAAAATTGAATTTTCTTAATATGTTGTCTGGGCCATCAGAGTACCTTTTCCTAAAGGCCATGCCTCTACAGGCAAAAGAGTTAATCATTTGTGTGAAGACTTGAAGGTAAGGGAATAATTTATTGCTAAATAAATACTTCAAATTATTTTTTCTAATTTGACTTTGAATATAAAGGCACTCAAATGACTTCTTTCTAATGACAGATTTCAAAAATGTATACACATGGCAAAAGCCATATTGGAATTAGACTATGGCAGCTGACTATCCAGAGGCCAACTTAGTCTCCATACCCTTGCCATCTATAGGAAATACCTGAAAATATTAACACAAATGAGACTAAATTGATGATGATGCTTAGAATGTAGTATCAATGACTGTAACTCTGATCAGTTGCAACTAGTCCCTAAAACCTGATTGGTTGGGCACTCAGGGAACATGCAAACAATGAAGTTAATTAGATCCCTATATTATAGTTCTACAAAGAAGTTCAGAGAAAGTCACAAACAACGTAGGAAGAAGAAATAACTTCTTAGCTTTCTTTAATATTAAAAATATATGAAGCACTGTAAGCAATGAAGAAAAACCTCATAAGCATTTATATTTTATAGAAGCTGCTTAAGCGAACGGTGGAATGTTCACAAACTTAATTGTCTGACTTTTGTACATTTACGGTAGAGATCATTTTATTCTGATCAGAACTGCAGTTTTAGAAATTATTTCGTGTGTAATACTGGTATTGTGGTTATGATTTTTAAAGAAGACCTTATCTTTTAGGGACACCTACTAAAATATGTATGCATGAAATAATATTGCACGGTTATTTCAAAAGACTCCAACAGCAGGTAAAGAGGATCAATGAAATAAGATTGGTCATGAGTTGGTAATTGATTAAGGTGGTGATGGTAATTGATTAAGCTTGGTGATGGTAATGAGGGACAGCATTACATTATTCTCTTAAACCTGAATATTTTCCAAAAGAAAAAGCTTGAGGAAAAGGGGGCATATTTTCAAAAATGTATTAAACTTCACCAACCTAATACTAAAGGCCTCAAAGACAGCATTTTGTAAAGTTGATCTATTATAACATTTATGATCTATTATAATATTTCCCACCCACCAAAAGGAAAGGGAAGACAACAAACTAAGTTATGTAAATTCAGTAGCAGTTGCTAAGGTGAACTCTGCAAGTGATTTAACTACACATCAATTTCACGGCAAGCAGTTCCTAGCATTCTAATACAATGACTACCAGAGTTCTTAATAATGTTTTAATTAATCTCTTCTGAAGCAAATTAAATTTACCATTGGTGGGATACTGGCTATAAGCTATTCCTATTTCCTCTTGTGGCATTACATATTATTGCCATAGCTGTATACAAAGTTGAAAAAATAATTTATGCATATAAATTTGATGTTGTAGGTGTACTGCATTTTTAAATCAAAGCTAAAGCAGTCCTCACCCTAAAAAAAAATATATATTGGGTACTGTATGTATGTGTATGTGTGTATGTACATGGTAGAGGTAGTAAATCAAAAGAGAAAACATAGATTTACATATCAAATCCTTTCTTACTAAATACCAAACAATTTCTGATTGCTATAAGAACAGAATTAAAGCTCAGAATATTGATGCTGAGGACATGCACCTACCACTTGTCCGTTGTGTGGGTTCTTATGAGCATATGGAGGTCCACGGATATGATTCCACATCTGGCCTGAAGTCATAGCAAAGACTATACACTGAAAGACAGGGGACAACGTGTTTCCATTATAGTAACAATCCGGCTCATCTTGTTAATATTATACAACTTATGCTATTATACAAAATAGAAAAAAAAAGTACAATATGATAACGTACCAGGGATACCATGGCCCAACCAGTCTTGTTATAGATGAATTCCAAGTTGTTCCTTCTTAAATAGAGCAAACCACCAACAAGTGACACTAATAGGGCCAAAGCAATGGTGCCAGAGTAGTTGGGTGGCCTGAAGACGCGAATCTGAAAAAATGCAATGAAAATTTTTGAAGTGAAAGAAAAATAACATTTTTTCTTGACCATATTCTAAGTCCTTCCAATCTTCAACATAAATAATTTACAAAGGTGCCACCTTACTTTTCATACCTTACTTTTCATACCTGGCACTAACATTCCTTTTACTCTTTACAAGTCAAAAATATATGCCTTAAAACATCGTGACTATGTAAAAAGACTCACTCTTTATTTTAGGTGAATACAGTTGAACATATGCAGAACTTATAATCAACCCAGAGCTGTTCTGGTTAAACCTTGGAAAATGGGATCATCTGGTAAAGAATAAAGGTGAGATGGGGGTATATTATTTGTATTATTTCAAATTGGGACTATTTTAAAAGGCTTTTTAAAAACACCTTTATTGAGATGTAAACCACATACCACACAATTCATCCAAAGTGTCAATTCAATGGTTTTTAGCATATTCACCAGTATGTGCAACCATCACCACTGTATCAGAAAATCTGAATCACTTCAAAAGAAGTGCCATGCCCCTTAGCATTGATTCCCTTATTCCTTTTACCCTCCAGCCCTAAGCAACCACTAACACACTTTCTGACTCCATAATGAATTTCCCTATTGTGGACTTTTATATAACACGTGATCTTTTGTAACTGGCTTCTTTACCTTAGCATAATGTTTTCAAGGTTCGTCCTTGCTATAGCGTGTGTCAGTGCTTCATTTCCTTTTGTGGCTGAATCCTCCACTGGATGAATAGACCACATTTTACTTATCCATTAATCAGCTGATGGTCATTTGGGTTATTTCCACCTTATGGCTATTATGAATAATGCTGTTATAGACATTCTTGTATAATTTTTTTGTGTGAGCATATATTTTCATTTCTCTCAAGTATAAATGTAGGAGTGGAATTGCTGGATCATATGGGAACTCTATGTTTAATGGTTTGAGAAACTGCCAAACTGTTTTCCAAAGTGGCTGCACCATTT